TTATAAGAGGATTATAAATACCAAGCAACAATTAAGATCTTAAAAAAATTCATATTACTAAAAAAGTCAGAATCACAATTCTTGCTAACGTTTTTCTTCCTTCTTATTTCAAAAATAATATTAACGGATCTCTATCAAAAGCAGTGTATTGAATCTATCCTTAAATTCATCTCTCTTTTAAGGTCGTTGGCCTCTAATTCTGTTAATCATAATAAAATACGCATATAAATTTCCTATTCATTCTTCAAGAGAATAGAATACGAGATATTCATTTCAATTCGAAGATTTATAGATTTTTTCTTCTTGGAAACGTTGCCAATTTTTGACCTAAATCTTCGAATAAGCAATGTTCAATTCGGAAATTACATAGAAAAATTTATTAAGTCGAGCATCATTTGCATTAGATTATTTTTTTTTAAAAGTTGCCCCTTAGTTTAAATATATCCATTTTATGAGTCCGGATGCTACTCATTTAGACATAGTTACCTCGAGAGTAGGCCTATTGTCTATCCAACATTTGGATTCAACTTACGAATATGGCAAGAGAAATCGTGTTAAATAAAAGAAAATAATAAAACTTGATATATTCGTAACTTACTAACAATCTAAAATAGATAAACAAACTTAATTTATATAAAATAATCCTATATATTAATTACGTTTTAAGTATATCGTTTACATAGATTAGTACTATATTAATGGTTCAATTATCGAGTTGAGAAAAAGAATATGTTAGTTAAAGTAATATTTATGGAGTGTTTAAAATAAAATTCTTCAAAGAAGCGTGTATCGTAACCGAAATAAAGTTGGTGGCTTTCTTTTGCAAATAAATATGTCGTCGATGTAAATGGTTCGCAATAAAGAAAAAAAGTTGCAACTAGGTTCGTTGGATTGTAGCTAACGTCAGATATAAAAAGTATTGAATAATTTGTATAAATCTAATGATTTTATCAGTTTTGTAAGAGTTGCACGCATACGAACGTGTCATGTAGCTGCAAACAAAATAGGTAAGGAAAAAACGCCTGATCAATAGATATAGGCCTAAGCTAAAGACAGGTTGAAAGTTGCTAGTGAAACATTATTTAACAATGTCAATTGGAAGAAAATCTTGATTAATAAACATTTTTACTAAAGCAGGAATGATAATCATCCGTATAAAGACGAAAATTCATAAGACGTAACAAAAATCATCGTATTTAAACTTTGACAGGCCGCTTAAGATAATTGCTATTGGTTAACCTAGCCCGATCTATCTATTTCGTGCTGAGAAGTGTCGAAACGTTTGATTTCAACACTCCCACCGCAAAATATCATTAATCATTAATCATCATTAGGCTACAAAGGCCTTAGGCTAAGTATAAAGGTAATATGCCTCTGACTGTAATGATGAATCGGATAATTTTTGCCGGGCTATCTTTTGTATTTTTGACATTGATTAATTTGCATCTTAAGATAAAAATCTTCCTAATAGATTAGGTCTATGTCTTTATAGATTTGGAAAGTTGAATAAAGACGGAAGCTTAACTTAGTTTATGCTTATTTGAACTGGCGAGTTTAGATAAACAGATTTTAAAGTGGACGAAACCTTTTATTTTCAGCCATAGACGCATAAAACAATATAATAGGTCTGGCTGCGAGTAGCAGAAATGTTGTGGATAAGCTAGAAAGACTCGATTGCCCGTTTGGGATCGAATTGGTTAGACTAAAAACAAAGAAAAATAGTCGTAAGTTTCAGGCAAAATCGCTGGAGTGTCGCGTCGATAGAAGAGCAAAAACCATAAAGCCGATTTCTATTTATTTTCTAATATAACGATCATTTACGTAATAAAAAAAGTCGGCGAGATTTTAAAGAAAGCGCGAACTTAGCTGAGCCTAGAATTTGCTTTACAACAGTTTAACGTAGGATTTTATTTTCTTAATAAAAGTTCAGGTTCAGTTCCCATGCGAACTAAATATTCCGTCCCCGAACGAACACGCTTTGCCAACTTTCACATTAGGCCAAAAAACAGGAAAGTTACGAAATCCGATTATCTTGCCTTTTCGCTGTATGTATTTGAACTGCGTGTATAGAAAGAAGCGTGTTTTTAAGTTTCAGAAGCAGTTTTTGTCGCTCCACAACGCGAGTTGAAATTTTTCCCTGCTCGTTCGCTCCTAAGAGAATTGACGGCGGTCGTTCGAAATACGCTGATTGGCCATTGTTTTTCTTACGTAGTCAAAACCTAGCCTTTGTTATTGTATTAGATAAATGTTATTAAAAATCTTTAGTTGAAACTAATCGCGAATCTAAACCTGGAAACCGAAACCACCGGACATTCCAAACATCACCATTAAAAATGCCACTTATCTATAGTTGGCGGCAACTAATCCATTTTAATCCCATTAAGCTTCATCGTGCAATGAACAGGATTAAAACATTTACTATTTGAGTAACCTAGTTATTATGAATGAAATTCCAAATTAAAAAACTTAATATGAAATAAAACGACTTTCTTTTTTTATCCTAAGGTAATACAACGAAACAAGCTTAGTTTAAACGATGTCGGAATAACTTTAATGGCTTTTTTAATCTCTGCTCTTTTAGGCCTATTAATTAGGTAACTGTATATAGGCGTTATTATGTTCAAATATAAAAGCCGGACTTGTTTTTTAAGTGTTGAAAACGCAAATATATATGTTAATGCGTGTTTTATCGATGAAGAGTAGAAATAAAAGTTAAACGCGATGTAGATATATTTGCGCTGTGGGCACAATCTCTGTTGATAATAGGCCGCGCGTTTATGCGTGCATCCGTTTTGCATATCCTTAGGCCAATAATGTTTTCATGCGTAGAATTTCAAGCCTTTCTCCAGCTCCAAACTTTCTATCTCTTAACGGCGATTCCGCGAATAAATTTCGAAAATAACTTATCCGGCGTAGGCCCGAGCGTAAAGTGACATCCCAGCACTAAAAATAAAGTCGTTACCATCGAGTAATTAAATTTTAATATGAGAAATGGTGGAACTTAGGTTATATCAATTACAGAGTCGTTTAATCTAGTAAAGATCTTTCAAATCCTTAAACAAACTTATCTGTCTGTGTATCGTCGAGTCTACATCATCCCGACACTGAAGGGCGTTTATCGAATCAGTCGGGTCACCGCTACAAAAGCAAAATCTAATCAAATCACCCACGTGGCCCGGAGTTAAATTAATCATGGCTACTAGGATACCAAAAGAGAGCCTTATTTCCTATAGATCAATGGCGATTTAGCCTAACGATCGCCTATTAAACGTTACCGACAGCGGATACATGTGTTTTGTATACAGTAATTTCCCGCCTAGCAATAGAGGGCCCTCTTGTCTCTCGGTAAACCACATTTGGGTACTCGGTATTGAGAATGGAAGTAGAATACCTTCCTAACACTTATTATATACAAGAAGCCGGTGTAGTATAAAGTAGTGACGACGAAAGGACTGTTCAAATAAGGACCAGCGTTCTCACCTGCCTTTAAAGGCGTTCAAACAAAGTTGTTCTCTTTGGTATATGTAGGCCTGCATCACGCCTTCCACCTTTCCGTCTTTGAAGAAGACAGATTTGATGGTATTGTTCGGCTAAGGAAGTTAGAAGCTTGCCGAAACCTATACAACCGCAACATGAGCCTGATTGTTAAAATATTATTCAATTTGACCATTTCCGCGCTTAAGAGTTGTACTCGACAATACCAAATATATTTTCAATTGTAGCTAGTCTTTAAATCTTACACGTTACTCTTAGGCCGTTGGAAATTTATAACTGAATACAAACAACAAAGGTCTCTTCATCTGCCTACAAACACAACCGGAACTCATGATTTTCGTGTTGAATTTTGGTAAAATATTTCGAAAATTATAGGCCTATATCAATATGATAAAACGAGGATATCTTAAATGAAATATTCTAACAATAAACTAAGGCAGAAGGTAAAATGGTGACTACCGAACGATAGAACGAAAGAAAAATGAAATAAAAACCGGATATTAATAAATTATCCGATTCTTGTTAAGTTAATAAAACGTAATGAAGCGACTTAGGGGTTAAGTAGACTGCTAGTGTCGGTGGAGTGGCTGTAATTATACCACGAGTGGGGAATCGACGGACTCCAAGCGTTAACCGTTGGCGCTAGACATCCAAAATAAACGCAGAACCCGGCAAATTCGGTCGGAAAACACCTTATGGAACATAAGCACTTATAAGAAATATTTAACAGTTACAAGAAGTATGCAGTACATTGTCAGAGAATGACGTCAGTCGAAACCCCCTACGGTCACCCCGATGCCGAATGTACACCGCGGGGGTACTCGTCCCTTAGAACTGCAGGTGTCTAGCCTAGAAAATGTCACAGGTGTTAGACATCTTCCGAGAAATATCAAAACAGAAATAAAAACTCACCACAGAAAGACCGATAGTATCCGAACACAAGTAGCGATGTCTGTTTAAAGTACAGATTCTACCCTTTATATGGGTATCTTGTCCAATAAATAACTGAACAGCATCAAGAGGGATTTACATGTTAGCCAATAAAGCTCAGAGATTCGTGTGATTAGAGTTAAGACACCTTATCGGATATCGTGTGCTTAAGTGGCATTAGCCTTCCAACGCACACTCAAAAGAATGAAGCAAAAGAGGGGGGCAGTAAGAAAAAACAGGACGAATAAACTGGGATTAGGAGCTCAGGTCATTCAATTCAAATAGTGTTTACCCTAATTCCAAACCTTCATTCAATGATGTATTAGATTACTCAGTCAGCCACAATTATTCTTCCCCAATCGTATAACATCCGTCAACCGAAGGGAGTATAGGTAATCGGCTTTATTACTCAGGACACGGACTTCCTATCTCAGGCCTTGTATGCTCAGGAAGAGAAGCTCACGATCTCAAGTAGCCTTTAAGCCGACCGATTCCTTGATAGGTGGGCTTAGTACCAGAGCCAGAGAAAGGAAAAGAAGGGGGAGGTAGAAAAAAAAAGACTGTAAGCAGCTTACCAGGATAGCCCACTGTGGGATGTAGAAGGTCAACGCCCGTGGATCCCAATCCTATGCCGTTCACAGCATATGGTGGTGACTTGAGGTATGCCATTCCTGATGTGCTGGTAGACTGGGCGCCCGGAGTAGTAAATGCTGGACAATTCGGCGAAGTCGGTTGGAAGGCCACCGTGCCCGGATTCTGGTGAAGTTGCTGACCTGGTGCAGAGCGGTAGGATAGAAATCCGGTGAGTGCAGGGCTATAACTGTCCCCAGCGCTCCCACGGCCCTGCACTTCTTCAAAGTTAGGCCACAGTTTTGCGACTTCTCAAGACACAAATCTTAATGAAAGAAATGGTAAAAAAAAATGTTACAAAAAAACTGGGAGCACTGTTTTGTGTGTTTGTGCTATCGTTCTGTGTTTTGGATCGAGCTAGAAAAAATATCACCGCAATTTAATGTGTTTGTTGCGTCCCGTCATCGACACTAACCAAGTCCGCTGCTGATACAAGCAGGGGGTTTATTCCGTTCCGAGTGTAGCCGTTAAGGGTACGACGCACTCTACAGCTCCAACGTCAGCAAACTAGGCCACGCCTCCCCTTCGCGCTCTCGTCCAATCACGTCCGCCTTACTTCAAATTTGTTTAGCCTATAGTAGACGGGCGGTTACTACGTAACTTCCTATTGGATAACGTCCTGGCTAAAGACAAAAGAAGCGTAACATCCAGCAGACTGATAGTAGTATTCAACCATTTGGCCATATTTTTATTTCGTCTTTTAACTCTCCATCGTTCTGGCTTCTTGCGATAAGCTGTATCACTCAATCAATTAATAAAATATTGTAGTTCAGCTACTGGCGTTATCGGTTTGGACCACTAGCAGATCAATAAACGACAAGGATATACAGAAAAGACTCGGTAACAAGCAGTATCTGCCTGGATGATTGTGTCTAAGGTCGGTTTTTCTGGTCAACGCTTGCACTCGGGCAACTCCGATAACCATATTAACAACTGAGACACGTAATCTTTTGTTTCGGACTACCTCGCTCTAATTTATACAATTATTTTCCTCTTTTACGCTTTCTGAACTTAAAAGTTCGAATCGCCTCTACAAATTTCTATATTATTAAATATTTCTACGATAGATAATTCCACATTTTCTAACAATTAAACCTTTCTTATTTTGCGGTTACGTCCTTTCGTATATTCCCTCCTGGTTCTCTTTCATTTACTCAATATCAATTGAATCGCTACTAGAAACGTTCATACTTTAGTTTCGTCATTCAAAACAACGTAACTTCACTCAGTTTAGCTAGCGTTAATCTAATTTTGTTCGGGATTAACTTGCTTTACTAAACAATGTGTTAAAAATGCCGGAATTTAGAATGGAAGTGGTGCTGCAGAATTTAATATGTTTAACATCTTAACTTACTTAACTTTAGAGTGAAACAAATCGTTTAACAACGGATAACCAGTTTTACTCACTTACTTAAAGAAGGATTATCCTATATAATCTTGGTATAAATATCGCTTTGCCCCGAAGCGGGAAAAGCGGTCGTATAGTGAATGAAGCCCTGTTGGGTTTACAGATATTGGAACAAGTTGGATTAAGAGATTTAGACCGTCTTTTAGCGCTAATTTAATGTGTGTAAACTGTTTTGTGGCCAGTCTACAACGGTATAATTTATTTCATTCTTTCTGATAGATCGAATAAGGGCAACATAGATTTTGTCATCTGTAAGAGTTAACGAGTTTAATGCCGTTTTTTAAAATTATGGTCTACGTGAACTCGGTTATCTTAAAAGATCGCCTTGTTTAGGGCAAAATAAGTATGTGGAGTAACCTAACTAACAATCTCTACTGTTCCCGTTTGATCCAGATTAACCTATGAAAGTTAGTCTCAGTATTACTCCAATTATCTCTGCTATTGACTTGACTTCAAATTAGAAACTCGTCGGAATGTCTAATAGACCATCACTAATTAAGAAAGTGATTAGAAGTTCTTTCACGATCCATTACAGAAAAACAAAATAAACTTAGGAGCCTTAAAAATGAAAAATAAGGAAGGCAGAAGGGGGGCAAAGATTATCCTTCAACCAAATTTACCAAATAAAAAAAGTTTATTTATTTAAAGTTAAGATAATTATAAATATTCAAATTCAAAATATATTTTAAAAGGAAGGTCTCGAAACTTTATTAACTCCGAAGGACAAAACTTGGTGGCAAGTCGATAATAACCGAACTTTCAACTAATTTGGTTGCCTGATACCTCGAGGCTAGGAGTGTTAGGAACAAAAGGAAGCACTAACACGTGGCGGCATGATAGACAGTTTTCTGAACGACATTGTTCTCAATAATGTCGCTAAAAGGCATATAATGGTAAGAGCTATCACACCTGGTGATGCACACCTACCGATCAACAAGTAGATAGGGTATTGTCATAGAATCCCCGACCCTTCAGTAATTACACTCTTGACAAATATGTCCCCAAGTGCAACAGTTACAACTTTGACAAACAGGAGGGCTACTTATCACAGGACGGATCTCTGTTAACCTAAGGTGGAACCATCTGCTCCTGTAGTGAGAACGCCTTAGGATTTTTACAACTTCTGTAAACTTGTTCAGTGTTTCGAAAGAGTTGAAAACTGCTGTAAGCCGAAAAGAGACATCAATTGGACACACTCCACTTTCTCCCATAGTAATTAAGAAATATTTACACTAAAAACCCTCCAAAAATAAAGAAAGAATTTTAAAATTTATCATTTCATTAACAACATTTAGTTTCCTTTCCTTTTTGCCCCCACAAAATCTTTATTACCTTGTATATTCAACAATGTAAGCACACTTTGACGTGTGGATTTGAAAAGAGGATTAATATCATATATCCTCCGTACGAATTCTGTATAAATAGATCTGATAATTGTATCAAAACAAACATTATTTAAAATAGCATTTATTAAAATAATATTTCATGTCATTGCTTATCTATCGCATCTCATTATTATAAAGATAAATGTTTCTGATTTAAACTAGGTAATAGGATGCCGTATACTTTTCCACTGACTAACAATATGAAGTATCGTTCGATACACTAATTAAGCACATCCTGTCTGGTTTACCTCGCCTATTTTAAAATAATAAAGCTTGGAACTTCACACCGAGTTCCAAATTTTCGAGTAACAACGTTTCATCGACTCTTCTACCAGGATCAAAAATCTATAGGCCTGATGCCACGTCTTAAAGCCGAGAGTACAGTCTATCAGGTAAGACGGGTGAAGAATATTCTCGATACGAAAATGTAGTCTTTTTTCATAACTTATAAGTTCTACAGGCGTTAGTTTTATTCGTTAAAAGGTAAGCATGCATTTTATAAAATTCGGGATATCGCCGGCATTATATATAAGCCGCTAAAACAAAAAAGAAGAGAAGGAAAAAAAAAAGAAATAAAAATGGAAAAGTGTGTAAATAGAAACACATTCGTCACGTAAAAATCGACGAAATACCAAGTCGACAATTTCTGTAGTATAATATGGAAAAAATCCAGACGTCACTTATAAGCTTAGTAAAGTGGAAAGAAGATTAGGAGACAGAATATGGGCAATGTTTCTTTTCTCTCACACACAAGAGACACCAACACCGAGATTCAAAAGAAGCTTATTTCTTTCTGTCTTAGTGTCGGCATATTTCTTCCTAAGTTGCTACCCATTTGGTACTAATCTTTTCTCTCCGTTTCTGCATCGATGAATCTCCCATCTCAACCTCCTCCTACCTTGTCCTTCATTACGTTTTGATGGTCCTTCAAATGTGCAAATCTCATTAAAAACTAACTCGCATGTAAAGGTACAAATAGTGAAAAAACGTCGATTTGTTAAATGCGCTTCCGTCTGAAGAGAATGACAGACTTAAACAATTCCCGATTTTTACATTATTTTTTTTATTTCTTTTGTATTTTTGAATTCAGAGATAACTTTGGACAATGTACAGTACGTTTGTAGACCTAACCGTAAAGATGAAAAAGTCGGGCTTATTTAAAAATTTACCTTCGATACATTTGCTTCTTGATGAAAGATTTAAAAAAAAAGGAGGAAAAAAAAGAATAATTCTAGATGAACGTGTAGTTTTTTCACCGGTCGATTCAAATGATTATATTTAACTAATTCGAGATTGTTTATATTTATTTTTCTATGTTAATACTGACTTAAGAATCCCTCCGAGATGAGATTGAAAGGTTATTCTTTAAACTTGCATAGACTTATTTGTTCCTTTATTTAAAAAATATGAAAGAAAAACAGCAATCGTCTCATTAATATAATTGACATTTTACTTTTTTTACATTGACAAATATTTAAATTAAAAACTTTTAACAGCTGCACGCAATAGATATTAAAGGAATATTTCCTACCTTCGCTCGAATTGTATAATAAAAATATTACAATAACTAATTTTACGAAGACGATATCATTTTAACAAGTAGATCTGAATTTGAATTTTACTATTATTTGGGAAATTCAACATTATTTAAATCATTTTCTTTCTATATATTTTTTTTATTAGATAGAAGAGATAACCGTTTAACATCATTACTATTTAAAGGATTAGATTTTATATCCAGCAACAAGATTGCAAGATTATATTTTATTCTATTGAAATATTTTCTATATATTGTTATATTTAGGATTACTTAAACGTTACGGAAAAATTTATTATTTAAACGAAGCTAAATGGTATCAAAATAGATAAGTCTTTAAGAATAAAAGTTTACAGATAAGCCAGAAATTTCTTTAGAAGATGTGTAACTTTCTTATTTATTATTTTAATTTTATAATATCGACTGTGTAAAAAATTTATCGATAACTTTTATTAATAAGATATAGAAGATTAATATGAGTTTATTCGATTAAAAATTAATCAAAACGTAGCAATCTGTTTAAAAAAGGAACATGTTCCTATATAGTCTACCAATTTTTAAAGAGAGATTGAGAGAATTCTATCCATTCGAAGACAGCTTTAACTGAATTATTAAGGAAGGAAAATGCAAAACAAAACTTTCTTAATCCCGTATCATAAAAAAAATGTCTGTTCTTAGATTCGGAGCTTTGAAAAATTGAGTGGCGCCTATCGATATACAATATTTAATCGATAAAAAAAAATAAAGTATATAAAATAGCCGACATAAAGAACCTAATTTGTTGAAAAATTAGATAATTATATAGTTTAAGTATAATCATATTAGCGAATAAGTACAGTAAACTATATTCTCCACGCGTACAATGAAATGCTGCTATTTTGTTCGCTTTATTTTCAGCTTGATCAGATTTAAATTGTATGGGAATACTTCTAAGGATTATTGAAACAAGATTAACTGATTTAATTGATTAAATATATGTCACAGTTTTTGGATTTTAAACGTCTTTTCGTCATTAAATATTGATAAAACGTGTAAAAATTTCCTACGGAGTTTGACGTGTTTGAAAACGTTTTAAATAGAAAATAGAAAAATTAGAAGAATAAAATAAGCTTCTCGTCTTTTTACACTGCAGCTTAAAAGACGGTTAAATAAAATATAGCGGTAATATTTTACTTGAGAGAGAAAATTTATCCATGGATTTAGTATTTTCTCTAGGTGAAAAACTTGGTAAAATAATTATTCTACAATAACAAGAAAGTCAGATGCGAGCTATGGGCAGTGCCGTTGACAGACGAGCAATTCTCAGAATCCATTATCTAAATGAGAGCTCTACAAACTCGTTCTTACTTCTCAAGTTCTTTTAATTGCTGTAATTAGCGAATACAATGGAAAGACGGTATTGTATTTAAAATTTGCCATTTTAACTGAAGAATTCCGATTTTAATTAAAACTCAATAACGGTCAGAAAATTAAAAATGAAAATAATAATGCCA